AAGGTTCATCCATGTTGGAGGAACATGAATCTGAACATGGATCTGAACACAGATGATCAGAATTTCCTTGCTTTCAAAGGCTGAATAAAATTCCCTTGAATGGACAGACCCCATTTCATTTATCCATTCATCTGTCTATGGATACTTGGGTTGTTTCTACCTGTTGGTTGTTGTGAATAATGCTGCTGTGATCACGGGTGTATACAAATTATCTCTTCAAGACCCTGCTTTCAATTCTTTTGTCTATAAACTGGAAATGCAATTGCTGAATCACGTGGTAATTCTGTTTAAATTGCTGAGGAATGGCAAGATTGTTTTCCACAGTGGCTGTACCACTTTATATTCCCACCAATAGTGCACATGGGTTCCAATCTCTCCACATCCTTTATTTGTTTATTTATTTATTATTTGTTTTTAAGACGGAGTCTCACTCTGTCACCCAGGCTGGAGTGGAGCAGCGTGATCTCAGCTCACTGCAAACTCCACCTCCCAGGTTCACACCATTCTCCTGCCTCAGCCTCCCGAGTAGCTGGGACTACAGGCACCTGCCACCACACCTGGCTAGTTTTTTGTTTTTTTTTTTTTTTAGTAGAGATGGGTTTTCACCGTGTTAGCCAGGATGGTCTCCATCTCCTGACCTCGTGATCTGCCCATCTCAGCCTCCCAAAGTGCTGGGATTATAGGCATGAGCCACCGCGCCCAGCTCTCCACATCCTTTTAATGCTTTTTAAACAATAGTAGCCATCCTAATGAACAGAGTTTTGATTTGCATTTCTCTAAGGATTAATGATGTTGAGCATATTTTCCTGAGCTTGTTGGCCATTTGTTTATCTTTTCTGGAGAATTGTCTATTCAAGGCCTTTCCCCTTTTGTAATTTGGGTTGTTTGAGGATTTTTGTTGTTGTTGAGTTGACAAGTTTGAATTTTTGAGTCCTTGTAAGACCTATCTTAATTTTTCTGGCTTTTGACTACCAAGATTCTAAGACAACCCCCACTGACAAAATAAATAGTCTATGACAAAGACTTCCACACATCACAAAATGAGTAGTAGTTCTAAATCTTCCAGACTTACCATGCTTAGACCCAGTTCAGAACAACTTTCAGCTTCTGAGAAGAAATTGGGACTATCTAAGGCCCAAGCATACGGCTTATATTCCTCTCATCTAAATAGTTCTCATCTGGGCAGCCTTCATTTTGCAGGGGGTGGAAATACCCTTTACCCAGTTCCAAAACTGCAGCTGCTGATGTGTGAAAAAAAAACCCCAAAGTCACATGTCCCACAAGCAGCTGCCTTTTGACTTGAGTGTTTCTACATAGGAACACTTTTCCTTGAAAACAAGGAAGACTGCATGATAAATATTGAGAAAAATTTCTCTCTCCTGGTACCCCAAAGCAAAATTGAATTGGTGCAGGATTTAGGTTGTTTATTCTTAAGAATATGCTTTTTCTCACTTTAATACTTGCAAATTTGAGTCTACAGGGCAGTTACACAATAGTATACCTAAATGTGTCTTTTTAGCCCCAAGACATTGGTATGTTCCTGACTTTGTACAAGGCCTGCACACCGTCTTCTGACCTGTATGCACAGTGTATTGTAGAATGCATGTTGTGTCGTATACTGTGCAGTGCATTAAACAACTGATCATCAGGACCACAGTGAGCCTGACTATGTGCCAGTCATGTTGCTAAGTATTTTATGTGTATTGTGAGTAGTAACCAGGAAGAATCAGAAGCAGGAATCCCAACTCTGACCATTACTAGCCTTGAGATACTACCAAGCTACTGAAGTCTCAGTTTCTTTATCTGAAAAATGGAAATAATTTTGAGAGGTGAACCAGCTGGACTTCTGGGTCAGGTGGGGACTTGAAGAACTTTTCTGTCTTACAAGAGGTTTATAAAATGCACCAATGAGTGCTTTGTAAAAACACACCCATCAGCGTTCTGTGGCTAGCTAGAGGTTTGTAAAATGCGCCAATTGGCACGCTGTAAAAATGTGCCAATCAACGTTCTGTGGCCAGGTAGAAGTTTGTAAAATCAACCAATCAGCGCCCTGTAAAATGAACCAATCAGTGTTCTGTAAAATGAACCAATCAGCAGGACATGGGTGGGGACAAGTAAGGGAATAAAAGCTAGTCACCCCCAGCCAGCAGTGGCAACCTGCTGGGGTACTCTTCCATCCTCTGGAAGTTTTGTTCTTTGGCTCTTCACAATAAATCTTGCTGCTGCTTACTCTTTGGGTCTGCGCCACCTTTAAGAGCTGTAACACTCACCATGAGAGTCTGTGGCTTCATTCCTGAAGTCAGCGAGACCACAAACCCACCGAAGGAACAAACTCCGGACACAATATTATCATCTTTCCTCAATTCTAAGATGCATAATTTTTCACATTTTAGCAGATCTGGAACCAGAGCATGTCACACAATCAACAGAGTTTTAGATTCAATAAAAAATAGTATAAGCTCTTCAAGATGTTGTCATGAAAATTAAAGGAGATCCCACTTATAAAATGCAGAGCATTGGCTCTGAGGCATGGTAGTCCTGAAATGCATATCAGCAAATACAACTTAGTCTGTGTCTCCCGCTCCAGACACCCCCATAGCTGTCGAATGGACAGCTCAACCTGCCCCAAGCAGGACCCTGATTTCTGTGCCCCACTTCTACCCTTGCCCAGTTTTCCCTTCCTAGTGTACAGCTCTACCTTACACCAGTTGCCCCAGGCCAAATATCTAGAAGTCCTCTCTGAGTCCTCTTTCCTTGTTCTGAGATAAAATTCATCCCAAACCCTGTCAGCACCATCTTCAAAATCTATCCAGAACCTGACCACTTCTCACCACTCCCATGACTACCAGAGTCACCATCACCCGTTACCCTTCTCATGACATCAGTCTCTTCATTCAGCTCCCGTGAATGCCCCTCCCCTCCTGGCTGTACCCCTCCCCTCTCAGATGCTCCATCCACACAGCAGGCAGAAGGATCCTTTAAAACCCAAGTCCCTCACCTCCTCAGTACCCTCTCATAGCCTCTATCCCACTGACAACACCATCCTCATCTCCCTGCCTGCAGAGTGCTGCATGACCTGGTGTTGTGAATTGAATTGTGTCCCACCAAAGTCATATGTTGAGGCCTTACTCCCAAGGTGACTATATTTGGAGATAGGGCCTTTAAGGAGATAATTAAGGTTAAATGAGGTCATGAGGTGGGTCCTTAATCTGATGGGATTGGTGTTCTTATAAGAAGAGGTGGCTGGACATGGTGACTCACACCTGTAATTCCAGCACTTTGGGAGGTCAAGGTAGGAGGATCACTTGAGGCCTGGATTTCAAGACCACCCTGGGAAACATAGCAAGACCTGGTCTTTACAAAAAAAAAAGAAAGAAATCAAATTACAAATTAAAATAAAAACAAGAAGAAGAAATAGCAAAACACTCTCCCCCTGCTTGTACAGAGGAAAAGTCATATGAGAACACAGCTAGAAGGTGGCTGTCCGCAAGCTGAGGAGAGGGACTTCACCAGAAACCAACCCCACCAGCACCTTGATCTTGGATTTCAAGTCTCCAGAACTGTGAGAAAACAAATATCTGTTGTTTGAGCCATGCAATCTGCAGTAGTCTGTTGTGGCAGTCTGCACTGACTAACACATGGCCCTTCCTGACCTCACTTGCCCTTCCCAAGACTCTTTTCCTCCAGCAAAGTGTTCCTCTGAACACACACACACACTGGCCTCATTGCTGTTGCGTGAAGCTGCTAAGCTCATTCCAGCCTTATAGCATTTGTAATTGCTGTTTCCTCTGCCTGGAATGTTCTTCTCTCTGGTTTTGGCTGAGCTCACCCCCTCACCACCTTCAGGTTTCTACTTGGTGTCACCTAAGAAGGCATCTCTATTCATCCTAAGTAAGACTTTCCTTTCCGGATCACCTTGCACACCCAATCTTGTTTTATTTTTCTCCACAACACTGACATAATAATATATACTCATTTGTTTATTGTCTCTCTCTCTGTGACCAGAATAAAAGCTCCTTCCAGAATAAAAGCTCCTTCCAGAATAAAAGCTCCAAGATAATCAGTCTCAGATCTCTCCTTGGGAAAGTCGGAGACTGATCACCTTGCTCCCTGCTGCATCTCAGCACCCAAACAATACCTGGCACATAGTAGGATTGCAACATATGTATGTTGAATGACTAAGTGAATGAATTAGTATGTATCATGCTTGCTTTATACACATATGAGTATATGTATGCGTGTATACATAGATGTAACATGTGTATGTATTTACACACATATATTCATCTATATATTTGTATTTATATCAACATCTGCACTGACCTATAAAGCAGGACATGTTCATTTGTAAAGAGGATACAGACCAATGATTTATTTCTGATTCTATATGGATGGAGGAATTCTAGTGGCAAAATGATGTGTTTGAAAACCAAAAGCCCAAGGTCACACAGTTGCTGGTCCACCAGAGGCCAATTTCCTTATCACACTAGATTGGCTCTTGAAAATCTCACTATAAATTATGAGGAAGAAAGAAATTCAAACCAAAGAATAGTAGAGCTAGGGGGTTATTTGAGATTCTCTAGTTCAGAGTCAACAAAAAGTGTGCTACTCCTTTCCCATCTCACACCCTTGGCAGACATCACTAATGGATTATGGCATTTTCCACCATTGAACTTCTGAGTCCTGTTTAGCATAATGCCTCAGGCAGACTTAGCTGCTCAAATGAAGTAATTTGTCATCCCAAATCTAGCCCACCCTAATCAGTTTTTGGATTGAGTCTGAGGCCCAGAGAGAAGCATTCATTTGTCCCAAATTGCACAGCATGCCAGAGCCAAGGCCTGGGTCACCCAAAGCTGACCTGACTTGTGTTCCTATGGTCCAACATTAAGCTTGAAGGGAACTTAGAGGTCATCTTCAATATAAAATCACATAGGAGGTTATTCTTTCTAAATGATCTTTCATTACTTCTGATTACTTCTAAAAATTTTAATCACTTGCAGCCAAAAGTTAAGTTACCAGTAAAATGAGCTACAGGAATCAGACCAACTCCGGCTGCCAGCAAGATGCTAAATAGAACCAATTGTACTCAAGAGGCCAAGAAGAAATTCCTGCCTTTTGAGATCAAGGAAAGTAAAAGACAGTTCAGCAAAAAGAGAGACTGAGAAGCTTGATTGGTGAAAAGCGAGGGAGGATCAACATGTTTTTCAAACCCGTGCAGGCTGCAGAAGACACTATCGCCTTCCTCTCAAGAGCCATCCTCCACTTTTATCTCCGCTAACAGAAACTCAGTTGTATTCTGATCTTCACCCCTCAGGCAAGGTAAACTATTCCCAGCTCAAGACTAAATCCCAGTTGTCCAAGCCAAACATGCAGTCTCATTCCCCCCGACAATGATGAACACAAAACTGCATGTGACCTGATTCTGACCACGGTCCTGCCACAAGACTCTGGGAAAAACCGCTGACTCTTAAAATGAGAAACACAAGAAAAGAAAAGCCAGTCTCTTTTTGCCTTTGGACATTGGTGCATTTGAGTGTGATGGCTGGGCTATGGCAACCATCTTGGCACCATGAGGAGAACAACTTGAGGCAGGACTGACAGGCCCAAGACCCCAGAAAGGAAGGACAGTAGAAGAAACCTGGATGCTTGGAAATGTAGAGAACCATGCAGTTAACCAGAGGACAGCCTGCCTTGGGTCATAGATCTTTCTTCTTGTTTAAACATTTGGCATTGGGGTTTCTTTTACCTGCTACCTAAAGGATACCAACTGGTACATGAGATACCTCCTATTTCTTCCTAGAGGCTGAAACAGACCTAGTCAAAGCTCCAGGCCTTTCCCAACTCCCAGGCATTGCATGCTCACTTTTCCAGTTGTCTAAGGACAGAACAGACCCTTATATCTGAGGGTACCCGGGGGAGCTCCGCCATGACCCACATGTATTCCTCGTGCCTGAAATGCCACCCTTAGTGAGGTATCATTCTGTTTCGATATGCAAATAGTCCTGGGGTAAATTAAGTCCCCTAAGTGAGAAAGAACTAATTGCATCTCTTTCTTCTTCCAAGAAACTTTGGCAGACTGTTATTACAAGAGAAACAGATGCCAAGATGGGAGTTAACGCACAGGGGTTTCATGAAGGTAAATGCCTGTGAGAGAAAATGGGTGGAAAGGAGGGTAGCGAGAGCAGTCAGGCCATGTGATGCAAGACCCTGAGTGGAGGAGAGAGGGAAGGACGATTGGGTAGAAGTATTCTAGCCAGTTGTGCCAACTTGATAGGCTTGGCAGCACCTTCCTTGAGCCATGGTCTAGTAACAGAGGAGTTCTGTGTCTGCCAGTGATAGCTCCCCTTCAATTCCTGCCAGGCAGTCCTGGGTAGGAGCAGCCTCTGGGAGGTGTGGCCTCTGCACAGACACAGCTGGAAAAAACAGGCTCCTGGGGCAGAGGGGAAGGAGACTTGGGGTGGAAGACAGCCCCGCAGGGGGTCGTGTCTGTGTGATGGTCACACTGTCCCATCCAGGCACTCACTCAGTAAACCTCTTTCAGTGAAGTCAGCTCAGACCACCAGTTCTTCACATGGTGGTCATGTCAACGGCTGTCGTTGCTGACGAATGGAAACTAGAGAAGGGGCTAGGTCACTTGAGAACATTAATGTGTCATGGCCAGGTTGGCACAGGAGAAAGCTGAGCTCACGAGGCAGAGGCTCCAGGAGTCACATATGCCTGGGGATTAGTGCTACTCTGGACTTCACAGGCCATGCAGTTTGGGGCAGTTTGAGGCCATTTTCTCTGGTTCTCACTGGCCAGGAAGAACCCCACCCAACCTCTGAGTTACTCATTGTAAGCCTGGCTGCTGCATCAGAGATTCAAAACACTGGGCCTTAAGTGAGAGTGCAGTTGCCTTCTTACCTATTAGTGCAGGTGCAGGTTTGGGATGGGGACCCAGGCTCCTGCCCTCTTGTTGCTCTGCCCTCCCCAGAGTGCTGCAAAGGAATATCATCTGCAGAAAAATATTGATGAGATGATGCCTTGGCAGCCCATGTATGTGCCAGGCACGGTTCTCAATACTTTATAAGTATCAAGCCTTTAACCCTCAAAATCTCTCAGAGTAGATAATATCCTAATTTTACAGAAAGTGAAGCCAAAAACGTCGAGTTGCCAGTTCCACAATCTATGCTGGCAACAACTATGCCTGCTAGCCAGAAGGAAGAGGGGGCTGTGCAGAGAAATGGAGCCCTCTTCCCCTTTAAGGACTGAGACAGATACCATGAGTCAGGTGGCCACTCTTGGTTTCCAGGGTGGCTGAGAGATGTAGTCTTTAGCTGGGCAGGCATGTGCAAAGTGCCCAGTTAAATTACTGCTCTGCCTGGAATGGCTCTTCCAATCATTTACACCATCATTCATGATTTACCAGGCCATGATTTAGGCTAACATTATCCAAGATTCAGTTCACCTGCACTGGGAAGACAGTCCCAACTCCACCCCTGGCTGGGTTAAATGCCCCACTTAGGGCTTCCATTAGCCCCTGGGATGCCTTCTATGTCACTCTTATCATATGTTATTAGAAGATCCTCTCTGGTCCCAATAGGCCTACAGACATGGTTTGTTTGGTCCACACAGTGTTTAAAGAAAAAAAAAAAATAGAAAAAAAAGCCCCCCCCCCCGACATCCCTCCCCCACATTCCAAACGTATGGCTTCCCCTTAAAAATCATAAGGCACAATAATAATGGACAGTCAACTGAGACTGAGTAGCTCCCCAATCCCTGTACAGAGGACACATGCACTTTGTTCACAGTCCCCACCGCTCCCTAATGTCCCACACCCTGCCTAATTCATTCATTCATGTTGCCTGCCTGGCCCCTGTAGGTAGTAGCCATTGCAACTCCACTGGACTATGGGTTTTTGGGGGGTAAAGTGTGCTTTAGCTGGATGCGCCTTGCACTTGGCACACAGCAGGTGCTCTGAAATGTTTGCGGAGTGTGTGAATAGTCGCTGAAACTTTCAGGACTAAATTGCATTGCAGCACAGACATACATTCCACCCACACCCTTCCCAACCGTCACCCCAAAGAAATCTATATTTAATTGGTTTGCAAAATCAGAGCCTCCAAGCAGCTTCACACTAGAGATCCTTTCTAAACGGCAGAAATGCGACAGCTTAGCCCTGCGTGCTCCAGCCTATTCATAGCTCGGGTGTGTTTCCTGGGCAGCTGCATTGTTCTTAGTGGGAGAGCAGCAGAGGCAACCTTCTAAGTCCAACTCTAGCTCTGCCTCTCCCAACCCTCCCTCATGCCCTTCCCCAATTCTCTTTCTCTGTCCAGCTCGCGGGCCCGCTGCCTATTCTGTTGGATGGTTATTTATTTATTGTCAGCACTAATCAGAGGGTGGGGAGGGGAAATAGGAGCTCTTGCCGATGTGAAAGTCCTTCCCCAGGGTCCCCAGGGAGAATCCTGTGCGGTGTGCGGCGCCAGAGGTCACTGTCACCTTGGCCTCGAGGTGGCCTGTTTACCAAAGTGAAATGAAGATATCAGTTAGATGTCAGGTAAATGCTAATGGCCAGCAGAGAGCTGGTACAGGATTGGCCGGGCTGGGTGAACCCTTTCTTTCCAATTCTGCAGCACAAAGGCCCCAGTGACTTAGCAACTCCGATAAGAGGTCAATGGGCAAATGTCAGTCCTTGATTGAATGCGCCTCTTGGCCTGGTTTCAGGAGTTCAGGGCTGCCTCCCTGCGTTTCCCTCGGCTCTCCTCACTCCTATTCAACTGGAGGAAGGTGAAGCATTTGTTAGAAAGCCCTCCCATCCACCCTTTCCCTATCTCTGGCAGGAAAGAAAGCCTATCCCTCGTGTCCCAAGGTCCGAAAGCACAATGAAAACCGGCATCATTATCCTCCAGCCGTGAATGGGAAAAGCGGGATGTTGACTATGGGTCGTCACCTAGGAGAACAGATGAGACTAGATTCGGTCACAGAAAAGAACAGGAAACAGTCGTTGCCTTGTTTATCAGTGTGTGATAGATAGCACCCCCGGGCCGCCTCTCCACGCAGGGCCTCATTAGGAAGTCGGCACCTGAAACAGGAACCTCCGCATCACGTGGTCCAGGATGAACCGGGCCTGTTAGCTCAGTCTCCCAGGACTGTGGATCCTTTTTGCATTCCTTCTATTGCTTTTCCAATGTGGGGAGTTGGCACTGGGCACAGTGAGGGTCTCACACCTCTGCTGGTTCTCACCCACAGGAAGCGTCTCCCACATCCACATCTTCAAGCAGCCCCTCCCCAAGCCCCTCGATGTCACTTCGTCTTCATCCTCATTTAGGCTTTTCTGCAAACTCTCCTGCTCCTTGGTCAGCCCTCTTTTATTCTTCTTTAGACTTTTTCTCTGCATCCTCCTGCCCCTGCCACCGTAACAATTGAAAGAACTGTCAAATCTTCTCAAATAAATTTTTCTGCATTTTTTTTTGCTTCTTCTCATATTTAACCTTGGTGATATTTTATTTTTTTTCAGCTTGTGAAAGATTGGAAATCAGAAAGAATGTAAGAAGTTTGTGTAGTATACAACACCACGTGCAATAAAATGGGCACAATTTGTCTCCCTTTTATACCATGTAGCTGCTGATCACTTGGGACTGCTACGAAATACATAGGACATCAGTATGTAACATATTAGCTGTATAGCTGTATGTTGATTTCTATAGACAGCGAGGCATCTGACCTTTGGTCTGGAATGCATCTTGAAAATGGGACGTGGATTGTATTACTTTGTCTTGCTGCACAGTTGTTCACCACAAGCTGTCACAGGTGCCCCTCACAGCCTTTTTGGTACTCCAGTGGGGGCCTGCTCTGATTAGACGCTGGGCTCAAGGCCATTCTCGCTGGCTTGTCATTGCAGGGCAGTGAATCCTTGTGAAATCAGACTCTTACACACCGGTGAGTTTCTGGGGTCCGGTTAGTAAATCATACCTTCAAGTAAACTGCCATAGCCTCCACCATATTCAGAATAAGCAAAAGCCTAGAAACATTGACTTGAAGAAGGATGTCCTGTCCCTTTGATGACAAGTTGCCTTGTCACTGGAAGATAAAATGGCTTCATTTGCCCATTTGCCGCAGTAGTTCTGATGATCAACCCTGCTTCCTGTCTTGTGCTCCCTTCAACAGATTCTCCATGCGGAAAGCAGAATGATCCTCTTAAAATACAAATCAGGTCAGCTGTCTCTCCCCTGCTTCCAAAAATTCTGCAAAATATTTAGCATCTCAGCCAAACTCCTTCCTACGATAGTGCCTATCACTCTGACTTCATCTCATGGCATCTTCTCCCCCTCACTCGTCACGCTTGAACCACATTGGCTTCCTCACTGTTCCAAAGACATGCCAAGCTCACTTTCTGCTCAGTGGGGTTGTAGTTGCTGTTCTTTCTGCGTAGGATGCTCTTCCCTCAGATTTCTGCATGGCTGGCTCTTTCTCATCAGGTCTCACCTCAAATGTCACCTCCTCTGAGAAGCCCTCTGATCTTCTCTCACATCGCTGTCTCATTTTCATCCCATCCCTTATCACTAGCCAATATCTTTCTGTTCATTTCATCATGTACTTCCCCTACCACCCGCTGCTGTGAGAAGATAAGCTCCATGAGAGCAGCAACATGGTCTGGGGTCGCATAGAGTCCAGTCCAGTCCAGACTTGGTCCAATCCTCCAAGTCCAGATTCATCTCCAGGCAGCTTCCAGTCCAGAGTTCTAGGCACAGCACGAGCCAGCTTCTTGAACAAGTGTTGGCATTTCTTTCTCAGTGGCTTTGGAAATCAGATGTCAGCCCCCAACCTTGTGACTCAGCCGGCGCATGTGAGAAGGCTGGCTTGGGGACACAAAGTCCTTCAGTCTCTAGAGAGATAGCAGCCCTCCTGGGAACAGGGCCACAGATGAAGGCTGAGCATGAAGCCCGGACACTGGCTGCCACTGGAAACTGACTCTCTGCTGGACCATGCCAACTCTCGACATTTCAAACCAGGCAATGGCCCAGTCTTTTGAAAGACAGTATCGCCTAGCTATGGAATTACCATGCAGATAGAGCTTGGGGGATGAAATTAAATTTCCCTTTTCAGAACAAAGACAAACACACTCCTCTTGCCCATCCTAGGAGAGCTGGGCCGCGAGCGCCTGCCTCTGTGCCAGGATTCAAAGCCCACGGGCTCTCCTGCTTGCTTCAGCAGTTCCTGGCAAGTGCAACGGAGTTATCCCGCTTTAAAATCCAATTGCCTGCCCACGGTCGTGAATCCCATCTCCAAAGGCAAGAAAAAAAAAAAAAAAGAAAGAAAAATTAAAAAAAAAAAAAGTTGGTGAGGGCGTGAGGGGCCGGGGTTCTCACAGATTCGGCCCAGATGAGCCCATTTAAGCTTCTGACATTATGCCTTTTGGGGAGGCCAATTCAAAATAAAACCAGCCCAAGAAGCTCCTGTTTAAAACAGAAAGATCCATAAATGCAGCTTCTGTCAGTAATGAGAAAATGGAAATCACAAGCAAAACCAGAAAACTCATTCCCCCAGAATCTTAATGATCTCCAGAATAATTGTGCTGGTCTCTCACATCACGGAGTGGATGGTGCCAGCCCTGGGTTTTCACATGAGGGTCAGATGGGTTCATGTTTTTTTAATTGGGCTCATTTCTAAGCAGTGTGCTTGTCATGATGCCTTAATCCCTTCCCTGTGCCCCAGCAAAAATGCTTTCTCTCTCCTTGTCTTCCTCAAACAAATGCAGCTTCTCAACAGGGAAATGAGCTTCCCTGTCTTGCAAACAGATTTCTTATCATATGACTGATCCACTGTGGGTGAACTTGCATTTCTCTTGCATAAGAAAGCAATTTCCTGAAGAGAAAAAGGGGGGAAAATCAAACCGCTTACCTCTCCTTGTTTTCCATATTAACATCCTTAGCTGAAGCTCCTGAAGATAATGGGAAAGAAACGACTTTATTTCAGAGGATGAATATCAATCTTTCAGATAGCAGTGGGATGTTCAGGGCTCTCTAAGAGGCCGCCAGGTTTTCCTGCATTTGTTTTATTTGGCAGGACTCACCAGAAGGAACAAATTCTTTGACAATTTCAAAGGTTCTCCAGACAAACTGCTACCTTCTGATAAAATCTCCTAGCAGGCTAAAGTTCAACAATGATGAACAAATTAGAAAATTCTGCCATTATAGTGGAATATAAATTGGCAGGTTCATTTAGGATGCTTAAAACAAAGAATGAGATCTTAAAAGTAATAAAAAATAATAATGAGCTTTGGGATTTAAAAAGAAAGAAAGAAAGGGTAATTTCTCAAGTGTGCGCAGAGGTGTGAAAAGTGACAGCAGCCATCAGTTAAATAAAGAAGCACTAGTGATTTGGCAGACAGTAACCATAGCACACAGTCTCAGGGGGGCCTCAGACCTGTCTTGGCCATTTCACTTCTCTTGTAGGTTCTGACTTTCAGCTTCATTGCACCAAGAGGGGGTAGTGAGCCCAGCACAGGCCCAGCACGAGGATCAGCCCTGAGAGTGGGCTGGGGGTGGGGTCAGAAAAAGAGGAAAGAGGGAGGGAAGGAAAAGGGAAGGAAGAAACTACTATTTTACCTACCTTGGCTGATTCAATTTGAGAAATGCTTGTTGTGCACCCACTATGTGCCTGCTGAGGCCAGGGGCCAGGAGACAATAGGGAGCAAAGCAAGAACCCAGCTCAGCCCTTTTGGAGCTCCTGGAGATGATGACTTTCACCACATGCTATGGTTTGAGTGTGTCCCCTCTGAAACGCATGTTGAAATCTGATCCCCAATATGGCAGTGTTGGGAGAGGGTCCCTAGTAGGAGGTATTTGGGTCATGGGACACCACTGTCATGAATAGCTTAATGCTGTCCCTCAGGAGGGAATTCTGACTCTCGTGGGAATGAATTAGTTCCCAAAAAAGAGGGTTTTTTTAAAGTGAGCCCAGACTCTCATGCATGTCTTTTTGCACATGCCTTCTTACCTTTCTGCTTCTCCACCACCCTGTGACCCAGCATGATGCCCTCACTGGAAGTGGAGTGTATACCAGTGCCATGCTCTTGGACTTCCCAGCCACCAGAATCATGAGCCAAGTAAACTTCTTTTCCTTATAAATTATCCAGCCTCAGATATTTTGTTATAGCAACACTAAACAGACAAAAGCACTAGACAAACACACAAATAAATGTAAGGTGGTCGTCTTGCTGAGTGCTACCAGGGAGTGCGTGAACACATGGTTCTGTGCACAGGAATAACCAGGAGAAAAGACTAGGTGTGGTGGTCAAGACAGCATCCCCTGAGCACAGAGAGGATGGAGTCAAACGTTCATTATGGTTGAGTGCTCTTCTATGCCAGGTCCTGGCTAAGTATTTTGTAATCATCATCTTATTCACTCCTTGCATCAGCCCAATAGGACAAATGATCTTTATGACCCCGTTACAGATGAGTACCTCAGGCTCAAAGAGGTAATATTGCTTGCTTGAAGTCACAGAGCTGGTTACATGGAGGACTCAGACTCAAAGGCAGGAGTCCCTGTCTCAGAGCTCGGGGCCCTGACCACCACAGCATACACTGCCCTCCCAGGAGGGGTTGGTATGGCAAGACCAGCCTTCCATCTCCGAACCTCCCTGCCCCTGCCTCCTCTCTCAGGCAAACACACACATACACACACTCACACTTATACATGCTCTTACACACTTTTTCACAAACCCTCACACTCTCTCCCACTCACAATACTCTCAATCACTTACATTCCCACACTCACACACTCTCAGGCTCACACACTCTTTCTCACACACACTTCCTGCCCCCCTGTTCCCAGAAGCCAAGGTGACTGCCCCTGAGCCTGCTGTAAGCCTTACCACCTCCTTCCCTCCCAGTGGCAATGCTCCTTCCAGCCTAGTGTGGTTCGGGTTGCAAGCAAAGCAAGGTGTGGGCTCCCATCAGAAATACATCTGAGTAGCCCAGAGCGGGGGGAAATTGACCCAGACCTTGGAGCATGAACAGGTGCTTGTCCAGAAAGCTGAGAATGGCTTTCCAGGCAGAGAATGCTGCCCGTGGAAAACTATCTGGGAGATGTGGATGCCGTCTGTGCTGGCTCAGATGCACCCCTGCCCTCCACAGCACGCCCTCAATAGCTGCTTCCCCTGCAGTGTTCCCCACTTCAGCAGAGGCACCACCAGCCGCCCCACAGCACACAAACCATGGACATGGGCAGCCCCCTGGAAGCTGCTCACTTACTAACCAGACTGTCACCAACTCCTCCTAAACACAGTCTGAGTCTGCCCACGTCTCTGCCACCCCCTCCTTCTAGCACCCACCCTCTCCCCCCAGACGACTATCAACCTCCTAACAGTTCCCCATCCCACAAGGTACACCCACCACCCTCCAACATGCTGTCACAGAGCAGCCAGGGTGGCCTTCCGTTCAGCAAATCGGACTGCAGGGCCC